TCTTTCTGTCCCTTATAGTCTATCCAGGCTACCTGCCCTTACAGGTAGCACTCACACCCAGGGTGGGCCTTCCTATTAGCCATACCCAGAACAATGCCAAAACAATCAGTGGACTAATTTAGTAATCACATACCCTTGATTCCAACATCACATACTCTAGACACAGTAATCTCGGGGAAAGCCCCACCTATGACTGAACATGCCAATGGCTTGATCCTAGATTTTCTGGCTTCTAGAACTATGAGAAATACATTTCTATTGCTTATAAATTACCCAGTCTGTGGTATTCTGTTATAGCAGCACAAGGGAACTAAGACAGATGGACTATAATAATTCACAATATTTTTCAGGTCAGAATAACCAAATTGTATTTACCTTGGAGAAAAACTGAATACATTTATATTTACCCCATTTATTTATTTAGGTACCGAGGAGGATTGAACTCAGGACCTTCCGCTTGTGAGGCAGGCGGCAGCACCACTGAGCTAAATCCTTGGCCCCAGTATTTTTATTTTTGATTCTAAATTAATCTTACATTTCTTGCTTGTCCTGAATTCTGTCATTTGTCTTTGTTTGGTCATAATTAAAATATGATTGAAAAGTTGGAGGTATAGCTTAGTGGTAAAATGTGTGCTTAGCATGTGTAAAGCCCTGAATTGGATCACTTGTGGCAAACCAAAACAAACAACTGGAGGGGGACACGCAGAAATCACATGAACTGATGGAATAAAAACCTGTCCTGCCATAGAAATCCAAGACTAATGTGGAGGGATTCTCCTTGTGGAAGCTGTTTTCTACTTTTTTTGTTTTTGAGACATGGTCTCACTATAGAGCCCAGGCTGGTCTTGAACTCCTCCCTCAGCCTTCTGGGTGCTGGCTCTCCTTTGTACGTCTGCTTCATAGTATTAATCAGTGCACCAGGCTTCCTGGAGTTTGTCAATATATAGTACAGTGTTCTTTATCTCCTCACTGTTGTTACATACTTCATGAAAGAGTTTCAGGGTTCTACAGTGTGTGACCTGAAGCATGCTGGCACATCTAGCAACAGGAATGCCAATGAGGATGAATAAACACTTCCTGGATGATCCAATATCAATAAAAGTGTTGATCTAAGATACAGGTCTGGATTTCTGGAATTTTAATTAAAATTCAAGGATAAAGAGCAAGTATCAACCAGAATAGGTTAAATTGTGGTGCGGTAACACTAACTCCCACATCTTAGTGACTTAAAACATCAAATGTTTATTTTCCACATTCAGTCCATGTCCACTGAAGTTTGGCAGAATGGCTCTTCCCATCAGTCACTCAGGGTCTCATATTGGCAGAGAAGATGCTGGATGCAAACAGAAAAAATGGATAGGAACTTCTCACATGAAAAATTAAGTTCTGTTCTTAGAAATGACCCTCTTACTTCCACTTACAACTCATTAGACAGAACTAGTCACATGACTCCACTCAATTACAAGTGTAATCCTTCCACGTGCCTGAAAAGAACTGGACTCAGTAAACACCTGTCAACAACCACTTCTAGTTTCCACCAGGTGAGGATGGAGGACAACAGGTCAAATGTCAATAGAAGAGTGGGTACTTTTTAAAATTTTTTTTGGTACCGGGGATTGAACTCTGGTCCTTGCACTTGTGCAGCAGGCGGCGAAACCACTGAGGTAAATCCCTGGCCCAAGAGTGGGTACTTTTTTTTTTTTTAAACTGTTTTTTTTTGGTACCGGGGATCAAACTCGGGTCCTTGAGCTTGCGAGACAGGCGGCGGAAAGAGTGGGTACTTTTCAGAAATGACTTCTGCCATGGTGATAAACACCTCAACCTCTTCAGGGATCTGAAACCGAAAATGGCTGCACATTAACTGTGATCAGTTTTCACAACAAATAGGATTTATTTATTGTGGAGCTCCAGATCAGAAAGCCTATTCTTCCAAATTTACATCATTCACTCTCCTTGTTGACCCCTTGGGCTTGGTGAGGGGAGATTTAGAGTTACAGGGATTCCCGTGATTCATCACTATTAACGGAGATGAGTGCTGCTATTGCTACCTTTCCTTGGTCACTGACAGCCAAACATCACCCAGGGACACCCTACTCCTTTGCTATAAAAGGGAACATTTAAATTAAGGTTTAACTGGAATGAATCAATTTTACAAACCCTTCCTTACCTCCATTGCCTTCTTCCTTTTGCTTGCTTGAATAATAGGAAGCTTATATTCTACATGTAATCAAATGACCTTTTCCATTTTTTTTCTCATTGCCTAGCATCTCAAGAAAGTAATATGTGTGTAACATTATTATTATTTTGGTACTGGGGATTGAACCCATGCTCTCAGCTTCCTGAGTAGCCGAGGCAAGGGCATATGCCATTGTGCCTGACCTATCAGGTTTTTGGTTTGTTTTGTTTTTCAGACAAGGTCTCTATATGTAGTTCAGGCTGGCCTTGAACTTTCTTTTTTGGGGGGAGGTACCGAGGATCGAACTCAGGACCTTTCGCTTTCGAGGCAGGTGGTGGCACCACTGAGCTAAATCCCTGGCCCCTGGCCTTGAATTTTCTATGTAGTCCAGGCTGGCCTCCAACTTGTGACCTTCCTGCTTCAGCCTCCCACATGCTGGGATTACAGGCATGGACTACCATGCTCAGATCATATTTTTAATATTGTTACTGGTTTTCCCTTCTTCTTTCCTTTTTCTGCTGGGGGTTGAACCCAGGGCTTTGTTCATGCTAGGCAGGCACTCTACAACCAAGCTACATCCCCAGCTCTTTAAAAAATTTTATTATGAGCGGAATATGGTGGCACACGCCTATACTCCCAGGATTCGGGAGGCTAAGGCAAGAGGATCGCTGTGAGTTCCAGGCCAGCCTGAACTACATAGTAAGACCTTACCTCAAAAAACCAAAAAAGAAAAAAGAGTATTAAAAAAAATTGATACAGGGTCTCAGTAAATTGCTGAAGTTGGCCTTGAGCTTGAAGTGCTCTGACATAGCCTCCCCAGTAGCTGGGTTTATAGACGTGAATCACCATGCCTGTCATTATTGATACTCATTGCCAAAGTGCACTCTGAAAACATTGAAGGGAAATATTTATTGCCACTATCAAGGTATGTATAAGCATCCTGAGAAGCCTAATTGTTTTCTCAAAACTAAATTCCATTGCTTCCTGATGCCTTCTACTTCCACCATCCCTTATCCTTTTGTGAAATCCTTTTCACTTTCCAGCTGACCCCTTCTCTGTTCTGTTAATAAAAAAAAATGAAAGAAGAAAATCCAGCTTATATTTATGCCTGGTCATATGCAGGGCAGTAGAAATACAGGTACGAATTAGACCAACTTTCTACATGCATAAGTTCACAGTCCAGGGGCCACCTAAGCCTTACTGTTGTCAAATGCTTCTTGTGAGTAGCTTCTGACAGCAATGGGGGATTTAAAAATGAATACAATTAGTCTCCTGCTTACAGCCTGACAGAAGCAGTTGGCCCATATAAGGCACTATGGAAATGTTTGTTGAACGATGGAAGAATGAATGAATGCATGGATGGATAAAGTTAGCTTAAACAAGGAAAAACTATGAAATTTTAAATATTTACATCGTACCCAACATTAAAAAGGAGAAATCCTCCTAAAGGTGCCTGTTTTGATGATAGGGGGGAGATCATTTGGGAGAGGGAATAAAATTTCTTTATTATAACAAGAAAGAAAAACCCTGGGAGAGAGCTGGAAGTGTGTGTTTATGGATAGTTCATGACAAGAGAGACTGGTTTGAAGACCTATGGAGAGATGTGGCAACTGCCAAAGCCAACAGGTGGAGAGACATGTTTCAATGAGATTTTTTTTTTTTGGTGCTGGGGATCAAACTTGGGACCTTGTGCTTGTGAGGCAGGCGGCGGAACCGAGCTAAATCCCTGGCCCTTCAATGAGATTTTTAGAGACTCTGTCCTCTCCTCATCTCCATTAGTAAAAAGTGTATTCTTGTGGTTTTGGAATCTGGTCAGGATTTATGAATCAAATTCGGCTCAAGGCGGGGACAGTTAGTGGTGCTGCGAGCAGGAGCATTTAGGAAGACCAAGGTCATTTGTGTTTACAAGCAGCTTGTAATCACATGATTATAAGGATCATGGATCAGAAATCTCTTGCTGAGGGTTGTATCCGGTGAGCCATGGAGGAGAGGGAAATACCAATGAGTTGTGAGATTATAGCCACAGGAAGAGTGAGAATAATTATTTATTTATTTTCGTTTTATTTATTTATTTATTTGGTACCGGGGATCGAACTCGGGTCCTTGAGCTTGCGCAGCAGCCGGCGAAACCACTGAGCTAAATCCCCGGCCCTAAGACTTAATGTCTCTTGGGTTAAGGGGAGATAGTGGCTCTCAATCCATGTGTTCAGCCCAGTGTCTACCCGTAGCACCTAGTGGGCGCTCGGGATGTATTTAACGACTGATTTTACAGGATAAAGAAAAGACGCATCACTGCAAGCCAGTGAGAAGGGGAACGACTGTTGCAAACCAGTGAAACTCCACAGCAGAGATGGAGTAACCGAGGCCTGAAGGAGACTCCTATCAAGTCTCGGGATGGTCAGTAGTAACAGTGCGGTAATTCCAGCACTCTCCGCCCTGGCGCCCCACCCTACCCAAGTCCACTTCCGGATTCCACCACGCCCACTAGCGTGTATTTCCGATACACTCATCGGAGGCCGCAGCCTAAAGCCGCGGAGCGGTAAGTGTGCTCCACGAAGGCCCGTACGGTGTTCTGAAGTAATACCTGTCTCTAGTGGCGGTGGGCTCGAGAGGCAGTGGGCCTTTACTTCTCGCATCACGTAACATTACAAGGCAGCCATTTCCCTCGCGAGGGCAGATGACGTCACTTCCGGGTCATATAAGGGCAGGTGAAAGCCGGAGGTGGCGTCAGCGCACTTGGTGTGGGGAGGAGTCAGGCCCGTTCCTCTAGGTGTTTCGGCATTTTGCTCTGGAGCTTTTGGTAACGTTGGCGTATTTAGCAAGTGAAGGATGTAGGCTGACCAGTTCAATTTGAATTTCAGATAAGCAGTAAATAATTCTTAAGTGTATCCCAAATACTGTATGGGACATATATACATTAAAATTACTTATCTGCAATTCTAAGTGAACTGAACTTTATGTATTTTGTTCGGCAGTCAGGGTTGAGCATCCTTCTGCCCTGGGCTCTGGGATCTAGTAGTAGAGCTGGACTCCTCTAGACCTTTGTCAGAGAAGTAGGTATAGAGTTCACCCAGGCTGTAAAAATCAGATGTTCTAGGTACGAGAATCCTTTTAGTTCTGAACTTAATGGGTGAGCTCCATGGATCCCCCTGGCGAAAGCTGGGCACGTTTTCAGTCTTCATGGCAGTGCCCTCTGTGTTCCCAGTCACAACAGGAGTCAGGCTGGGCTATTATTTTATAGGAAATCTGAGAACCAGGCCAGCTAAATGGCCAGGTTTTGGAAGTTGTGGTGTTATATGAGTGAGGGATAAAGTAGTGTTCGGGGTTCTCTTGTTACAGCGGACAGCATCAGAAAGCCTGAGAGTGTCAAAGGTCAGAGCTTTAGTCTATTTTTCTTTTTGGTAGTAATTGGGATTGAACTCTGGGACCTTTGCATTGAGCCACATTCCTAGACCTTTTTTATGTTTTATTTTGAGCCCATCTCGCTGAGCTCAGGCTAGGCTCAAACTGGTGATCCTCCTGCCTAAGCCTCCCAGAGTGCTGGGATTACAGGCATCCACCAAACCTGGCTTTTTTTGTGAACACTGCAGAGTCAAACCCAGGGTTTAAGCATGCTAAGTAAGTGCTCTTATCACTAAGTCACACGCTCGCCCCCCCCCCCCCCCCCCC